AATTTTTATATTATTGTGAGAAATGCACTAATTTCTATTCAAATAAAGAATGCACTAAATGTAAAAATCAATTAATGAAACCTAAGGATTTCGATTCAGAATCTCTTTCACAAGAGTCTCAAGTTTCATCTTGTTCTACTAATACATATTATGAAACTGATGCAAATGATTTTATAGAGTGTGACAAGTTCACTTATATAAAAAACCAGAATAATATTGTTCTAAATGACAAATTATATTTTAGTGATAATGAACTTAGAATGGATGATTCTTCAAGTTCCAAATGTAATTCTCTTTAATTAGTTTATAACCAATTAAATTTTTTTTTATATAATTCTCTTTATTAAACATCTTAACAATGTCTGAAAAATACAACACTGCAAAGAGTCAATATTTAGCTTTTCAATTATTCTTTTCATCATGTCTATCTTGGCTCAATTCTGTTGCAAGCATGTATAGTAATGGTATTTCTATTAACAAAAACCAGATTGATAATGAAATTAAAGTCAAACTCACAGAACAAACTAATTTGATGCAAATAAATAAGAAAATAATTGATCAATATGAAGGAGAATGTCGATACTATGCATTATGTTTAATAGTAAATTCTGAAAAGGAAATTTGGATGAGTTATAGAAATAATCCTAGTAAAGATTATTATACGTATTATCAAGTAGCAGAAGGTGGTTTAGAACCATATGAATCATTCATTGATTGTGTCAAGTGAGAAGTATTTGAAGAGACCAAATTAGATTTGAAAGATTTTTATTTTATTACATATGATGAAGGATTTCGTATATTTCCTAACTGCTCAGATCGTAAAATCATGTTTAAAACTGTGATCTATTTAACTATTACTGATAAAATTCTACAACTAACAGAATCTGACAAGAATTCTGCATGGGAGGCATATACTATCAATGAGTTTAAAAATCTCAAAGTTACTGATTCTTTGAGACTCAAAGAATCAGTAATAATTGAGGCTATCAATTCAAAATTCAGAAATCGTAAAAAACATAAGAGTGAGATTAATCATGAATCTCAAAAACAAGTTAAAATAGATCCTGAGAAACTCAATGAACCTGAATCTACTACATCATCACTATCTCCATCTTAATAGTTTATTTATTTTATTATTATTATTTTATTTTGTTATATTTTCATTTTATTAAATAAATCATCCAACTAGTTTAATAACTAGTTGGATTTTTAATTATATAAACTAAAAAATGACTACTGTCGAAAAAGAAAAAAAAGTAAGTTGGCTGTGCCATTTTACTTTGTATTTGTGAATT